AGGCCGGCTCAGGTCGGAATCGGAGAGTGTACGGGCAGAAATGACTGCAGAGGTCCACGAGGCACCTCCGCCGTCTGCAGGTGCAAAAACTCAGCCCCAGAGCAGTGTCAGGAGGCACGGGAATCAGGGCAGTGCCAGAACTGTCCCCTGACCCCTACCCAGAGCACTGGGCACACCCCCGGCCCCCTCCCACGCCACACACCCCACATAGCCTAGAGCCATCCTGGGAAAATGATTCCTTCGCTCCGATAAGTAAAACATCGCATCAAGGGTTACCTGGCTCCTGCGGAGCTGGACGTGGCAGTGGGTGGCACAGCTCTCGCCTGGAGTTGCCGGTGCGCCCTGACCGCTTCATTTATCCTGCACGGAACTCCTCCCTCCGCTTAGGAAACACCAGCCAGGACAGCCCAGTGTTCTGTTCTCAGACTGGAAGCCAGACGATAATTTCTGGTAACCCAGACTGGTGAGGGCTACTCCAACAATCTTGTTACGGGAAAGTCCCAATTTCTTGCTCCTTACAGAGCAACACAAATCTTGGCCTTGGTAGCTTGTTTTCTGTTTGTGAAATACTGTCTGAGCAGCATGGGAAATCTGAGAAGACAGACACTGGAAGATAGTCCCCAGGACCATGGGGGCTCCTCTTAATATTTAGGGGGCATTGCGTCTGTTTCCTTTTAAGTTCTTTTTCTTTGACGTGTGTATGTGCCTATGTGTATCTGTCTATGCTAGATATGAATTTGCCTTAGGGGGAGCTGGTCTCAGGGCCCCCCTATCCCCTTCTAGAGTTGCATCTACAGAGCGGGGGGAGCGTTTATTAGGACCACAGTGTTGGAGACCTCCAGCCCCCAGGAACCTATGTCTTATGTCTGTGGGGGCCTTCTCTGGCTTGGCCTTTGTCCTTCTATGCTTTAATTCACCCCAGTAGCTGGTTGTCCCTTAGTCCTGAACTTTAGGCGCTTCAGGTCTCTCTTAGCTTGGGCTTGTGGGACAGATCTTCCCCTGATTCCTCCTGGTCACCACCCCCAATCCGTGATAACCCCTGACAAACCTCGGTGGAACCCTTGGGGTTCCATGGAACACTGTTTGGAAACCACTGGATTAATGGCAACATTAGAGCTTGGTATGAGGGGTCTTGGATCTGAAGCCGGAACATACCTCACACCAGCTGTGCCACCCACTGAAAAGCCTCAGCCTGTGCTAACGCCTAAGATCCCAGTGATGGCATTTCCCTGACAGGATGGTTCTGATGATAAGAGTGATTATCTCCGGTTGGGTCATTGGGAAGTCATGATGCACTTTTGCATGGAAAAGTATTCATGACTTTCCCGACAACCGAATAAATGGCAGCTCCGCTAGGACAGGTTCTTTTGCCTGCTTGTTTTGGACAGTCCTGTGTCCTCAGGTACCTGATAAATATCTGTGGACTATAAAGCCCCAGAGGTAACCCCCTCTCCCTTACAGGATGGCTTATGTCCTCTGAGGCACCAAGTATTTTCAGAATTGAATACGCTTTTTTTTATTATTATTATTCATTTATTCTGAACCCAACTTAACTTTTCTCCTCCTAAATTATCTTTTTTTTACTCCCGTAATAATTGCAGCAATGTGATTTCCTGTGTACAGGAATATAATGAGTAAGGACTAAGGCAGGGTAATTAGCACACGGCCATCAACCTTCTGTAACATTATATGATAAGTGGTTGGCTACATTCTCTCTCTGTTTTTTTTTTTTTTTAGAATTATTTTTATTTTTTAGTTTGACCAGAGAGGGACAAAAAGGGAGGGAGGAAGAAAGAGG